CCTTAAAATTAACTGAGTACACCCTATGATATAAGTATACCCTAATATTTAAATCAAAATGTAAAATTAACTAAGTACACCATATTTAATTACCAAAAATACCCCGGATACACCCTAATCCACTCAATCACACAGCAGCAAACCCATTCGAATCTGGTAACAACATTCTCGAGTTTGAATTCTCTCTACATCACTTTCCCTTATTCGAGTTTGAATGAATTAGCACATGTACCTTGCTCAACCACATAATGGAATAGGGTTTCTATCTATTTTTCCCAGTTAAGCAGATTCTTCAACTCAAATCCCAAAAGTTTCAATCTTTATTTTCTTAGTTTTCACCCAAATTGAATTTGGTTTTTTCTTCAATTTTTTAGAATTTCAATACACAATTACCGAATTCCAGTTTCAATTCCAAGTAAGCACGTATGAACTCGCTTGGTATTTGGAGGTTTTTTAATCTTTTTATTGTCAATAAAAGGAAATAACAGAGTTTTTGGAGTAGGGTTTTTCGTTTATGTTTGAGTAGAGTTGAATATGGTGAGTAGGGTGTACTTATTAAAATTACATTTATTTCATAATTCAAAATATCCTTTTTGATAATTTTATATTAGGATAAATTAGTAATTTAATAAATAGTTTGATAGTATGGTGTACTCAATTATTTTTAGGGTTCATTTAGCACCACTCTAGGTTTTTGGTTTGAACCTTTTATTTATTTATGGGAATTATGGATCATAATGAGAAGAATAGAGGAATCCGTAATTGAAATCAAAAGAAAATTCTGTATCCAATTCCTTGTAATCAATGCATGAGCAAAATAAAGTCCAACTTTCACTTCTGGCATGCAAATCAGTCGTTGTTGGCTTATATATCCATCAAAGACTGGCCACATCCTTGTCGGTTGGCTAAGGAGAAGAAAATATCATGGACAAGCTTGCTTGCTCGACTACTTTCAACACTCTCACTCTCAAGTCATGCCAACAGTTGTCCAATACTACAGCTAATTAATTCTTCAACTTTTGACCTTTTTTTTTTTTTTTTGACAAACCGATCTTCTAACTACCCTAATGTACAAAAATGATGATTGAACTCGGGTGTAAGAAAGTTTGCATAATGTCTTAATCAACTGACCTAACCCACGTATACTTTACCATTTCACTACAAAGAAAAAAGTGACAACAATCACCATTATTTGGTGACATTTGACGACTAATACGGGGTGACTAAAGTCTTTAGTCCTATAAAAAAAAAGGTGACAACAGTCACCATTATTTGGTGACATTTGACGACTAATACGAGGGTGACTAAAGTCTTTAGTCACCACACCACCCATGATGACGGTTGCCTTTTTTGTTTTTTATTTTTGTAGTGTTTATTTTATTTTTTAAGTGTGTGTAGTTCTATACATCAAACAATTGTTGAGTCATACTTGATCTTGAAAGTGACCGAAAAAATAATTGCATAAACAAGGCTTCAAATTTTTCATCATATTGAAGTGCCTTAATTTATACTTCGGCTAAAAAAGTAGCTTAATTTATACATAATTTGATTAGCACTACAAGGCCAATCAATAGATTTTTGAAAAGTATATTTTATATAAAGGACGGTTACCTCAAAAAGAAGTTTGGCTTTATAATTATAAAGATTGGTGAAAACTCTTAGATAGCAACAACACAAGTAAAATGAGCAAGATAAAAGGTTTATGTAAATAACTTTCATAATATCACTATAGGAAATTGTATATTATTCAGTAGTTAGGTAGTGTACATCTAATGATTCCTTATATCTGATAGTGTGGGAGCCTTTGGGACTTGGAATTTTTTTTTTCCTAGAAAAGTAATGTCTGTAATAAAGGTTTTTTATTTTTATTTTTAGTACAAGCGATAGTCTAAACTATAGGATATGAGATTTCTCAAACATACACACAATTATGATACCATGATGATTTGAACCAAACAAGTGAAGACTCTTTTACACTGGACTAGACCCCTTTGGCCAATTTTTAAAATTAACCAAACAAGTTTATGTTATAATCTCATCTAATGTGTGTGGGAGCAAATAAATTTGATGCCCAATCAGGAGGCGCCACGTGGAAAAGAAGCGACGCCCAAGCAGGAGGCGCGACGTGGAAAAGAAGACAAATCCTAAAATATATTATTTAAATTAATATTCTGATTTAATAATATATTTAATACGAGAGTTACCAATTTATGCTGAGGGAATAAATTTCATAAATTCCCTCAACCCATTTATTTGATTCCATAACTTCCCTCAACTCCATTAATCAGGAAAGGATTCTCAATTATTCCCTCCATAAATGGAAAAAAAGAAGTTATAAGGAAGGAAGGCTATTTAAGTAGGAGGAGAAAAGAAGGAAGGTAATATCGAATTTCTATTTCAATTGGAAATTCCTCTCTCAATCAGATTTTTACCCGAACATTACTCTCTCTCTCTCTCTCTCTAGCCGAAATTCTCCCCTGCTCTCATACTTGTGGCTGACTAGCTCTGGCTATCGCCACCTCTCTTATCTATTCGGCTCCCAAGCCACATCTCTCCCATAGAGAAATATCTCAATCCTTTCAGTATTATATGCATCTTCCGAGATCATATTACTGACTTAGGCATCGAAGGGTTCTTGGCCACCATCACACCGGGGGTTCTCCGTTGACCGCCATTTGTCTTGTAGGGAATCTAATTGAGGAACGTTCGAGAGAGAAGATTCGTTCTTAAATATTCTCTCAGGAGGAAATTTGCACAAACAATGCGCATATTTGGAATTCTTTCATCTAAATGGGGATGATTTCGTATATAAGATATTTTTAGTCATAGCTTTAGCACAAGTGACATGATAAATTTGAAAAAAAAGTAGCTTAATTTATACATAATTTGATTAGCACTACAAGGCCAATCAATAGATTTTTGAAAAGTATATTTTATATAAAGGACGGTTACCTCAAAAAGAAGTTTGGCTTTATAATTATAAAGATTGGTGAAAACTCTTAAGATAGCAACAACATAAGTAAAATGAGCAAGATAAAAGGTTTATGTAAATAACTTTCATAATATCACTATAGGAAATTGTATAGTATTCAGTAGTTAGGTAGTGTACATCTAATGATTCCTTATATCTGATAGTGTGGGAGCCTCTGGGACTAGGAATGTTTTTTTCCTAGAAAAGTAATGTCTGTAATAAAGGTTTTTTATTTTTATTTTTAGTACAAGCGATAGTCTAAACTATAGGATATGAGATTTCTCAAACATACACACAATTATGATGCCATGGTGATTTGAACCAAACAAGTGAAGACTCTTTTACACTGGATTAGACCCCTTTGGCCAATTTTTAAAATTAACCAAACAAGTTTATGTTATAATCTCATCTAATGTGTGTGGGAGCAAATAAATTTGATGCCCAATCAGGAGGCGCCACGTGGAAAAGAAGACAAATTCTAAAATATATCATTTAAATTAATATTCTGATTTAATAATATATTTAATACGAGAGTTACCAATTTAGGCTGAGGGAATAAATTTCATAAATTCCCTCAACCCATTTATTTCATTTCATAACATCCCTCAACTCCATTAATCAGGAAAGGATTCTCAATTATTCCCTCCATAAATGGAAAAAAAGAAGTTATAAGGAAGGAAGGCTATTTAAGCAGGAGGAGAAAAGAAGGAAGGTAATATCGAATTTCTATTTCAATTGGAAATTCCTCTCTCAATCAGATTTTTACCCGAACATTACTCTCTCTCTCTCTCTCTCTAGCCGAAATTCTCCCCTGCTCTCATACTTGTGGCTGACTAGCTCTGGCTATCGCCACCTCTCTTATCTATTCGGCTCCCAAGCCACATCTCTCCCATAGATAAATATCTCAATCCTTTCAGTATTATATGCATCTTCCGAGATCATATTACTGACTTAGGCATTGGAGGGCCCTTGGCCACCATCACACCGGTGGTTCTCTATTGACCGCCATTTGTCTTGCAGGGAATCTAACAGAGGAACGTTCGAGAGAGAAGATTTATTCTCGAATATTCTCTCAGGAGGAATTTTGCACAAACAATGCACACATTTGGAATTCTTTCATCTAAATGGGGATGATTTCGTATATAAGATATTTTTAGTCATAGCTTTAGCACAAGTGACATGATAAATTTAAAAACAAAAACAAGGTATGACGTAAAACATCTCCAAATCTGTTCCCCAAAACTAAATTTGGGTGAAAAGGAAAACATCAATGCGTATGCGTTCCAAAAATTTGTTGAGTTCCTAAAAATTTCCCTAAAAATCTAAAAATCAAGTTGATGTTTGGGGCTCCCTCAAATTTGAACAAAAAGAAGTATGGAGGGGAATGCAGTTTTTGGAGGGAACACACGATAAAAAGATATTTCTAGGATAAGAGGGACTTCTTACAGAGATTTGAGGAAATTTTTTACTTTAGCATTGGAAATGCTTCACAAATGGAAAGGCAAAAAAAGAAAGATTGGAGATCCATTTTGACTGCAAGGGAGGGGCAAAAAAATATTTTTTCTTTGATATTTATTAAATAAAATAATTGTTTATTTGCTGGTCAAACTAAATAATTGTAACAAATAAATCTTCCACGCTATAAAGAATAAAAAATATGGGTCTTTACCAAAGACTTATCGTCTCAGCTGGTCTCCATTTGTCTGGCAACTACTCGAGAGTAGGGGAGAGAGAGAGAGAGATAGGTGATGGGATTTTTTTTCTTGCTTCACTAGTTGGCGAAGATAGAACCGTTACAGAAACAGCAATGGAGCAATAAATTATTGTGAGTTTTATTTATTTCTCCAAGGTAAATTAGAAAATGCTTTGATTAACTTGAAATTTAAAGAGAAGGAAAAGAAGCCAGAAGACAGAAGAGAGAAGCCTTTTTGACTCTTTGTAGATTTGCTGCTAGGCAAAGCCTGTGAACCCTCGTCTTTCAACTCTTCCAGTCAACTTGGGACACGGGAGACAGCTAAATAGCTTCTGGGTTAGCTTTACTTTATCTTCCAAAGCTCTGCCATGGCTTCCTGATTCCTCTTTAAAGGTGCTTCTCTTCTTCTTCTTCTTCAGCTGTTTTCTTTTTGTTTTTGGTTATTCACATACATGGGTGTAGGATCTTTTTCACTGTTGTTTGGTTGCTGGGGTCATGAGAATGGAAATGATAAAGATTCGAATTTTGAAACATTTAATTGGGACCTGGGAAAAAGAAAAAAAGCTTTTTTTTATTTTTTATTTTTTTCTCTGGAATCCGAAACTGCAGAATGGAGTAAGGGCTTATTTGTTTTTCTCCTATTTCCCCCTTTTTGATGTATTGATTTGAATCATTTTGTGGGTTGAACTGATTTTTGTGTTTCTTTCTGGTTTGAGTAGTTTGTCATAAAAAAAAATTGAAGCTTTGGGCCTCTTTTGGTTTTTTGTTGTGTCGTTTTCTTCCTTGTGTGATTGGAATTAGTAATATTTCTGCTACTGCTTGCAATATTTGAATGATAACTGAGAAGAGGAACACACGATAAAAAGATATTTCTAGGATAAGAGGGACTTCTTACAGAGATTTGAGGAAATTTTTTACTTTAGCATTGGAAATGCTTCACAAATGGAAAGGCAAAAAAAGAAAGATTGGAGATCCATTTTGACTGCAAGGGAGGGGCAAAAAAATATTTTTTCTTTGATATTTATTAAATAAAATAATTGTTTATTTGCTGGTCAAACTAAATAATTGTAACAAATAAATCTTCCACGCTATAAAGAATAAAAAATATGGGTCTTTACCAAAGACTTATCGTCTCAGCTGGTCTCCATTTGTCTGGCAACTACTCGAGAGTAGGGGAGAGAGAGAGAGAGATAGGTGATGGGATTTTTTTTCTTGCTTCACTAGTTGGCGAAGATAGAACCGTTACAGAAACAGCAATGGAGCAATAAATTATTGTGAGTTTTATTTATTTCTCCAAGGTAAATTAGAAAATGCTTTGATTAACTTGAAATTTAAAGAGAAGGAAAAGAAGCCAGAAGACAGAAGAGAGAAGCCTTTTTGACTCTTTGTAGATTTGCTGCTAGGCAAAGCCTGTGAACCCTCGTCTTTCAACTCTTCCAGTCAACTTGGGACACGGGAGACAGCTAAATAGCTTCTGGGTTAGCTTTACTTTATCTTCCAAAGCTCTGCCATGGCTTCCTGATTCCTCTTTAAAGGTGCTTCTCTTCTTCTTCTTCTTCAGCTGTTTTCTTTTTGTTTTTGGTTATTCACATACATGGGTGTAGGATCTTTTTCACTGTTGTTTGGTTGCTGGGGTCATGAGAATGGAAATGATAAAGATTCGAATTTTGAAACATTTAATTGGGACCTGGGAAAAAGAAAAAAAGCTTTTTTTTATTTTTTATTTTTTTCTCTGGAATCCGAAACTGCAGAATGGAGTAAGGGCTTATTTGTTTTTCTCCTATTTCCCTCTTTTTGATGTATTGATTTGAATCATTTTGTGGGTTTAACTGATTTTTGTGTTTCTTTCTGGTTTGAGTAGTTTGTCATAAAAAAAAATTGAAGCTTTGGGCCTCTTTTGGTTTTTTGTTGTGTCGTTTTCTTCCTTGTGTGATTGGAATTAGTAATATTTCTGCTACTGCTTGCAATATTTGAATGATAACTGAGAAGAGGACAGCCAACATGATGTGGTAAACCAAACAAGGAGATCCCAAGAGAGACGGAAGCATAACACAAATGAACTCTCTCAAATTGTGCACTTAAAACTGCTACAGGATGACATTACCCCTTTTTTTTCTTTCACAAGAACGGAATCCATTGTAATATTAATATTTGGTCCTTAAGAAAAAGTCCGCTCATGAAATAACCAGAAAATATTGCAATTGAGGACCCAACATTGAACTAGGTTGGGACTTTGATTCCTCCCTTTGACTTTTGATATGTTGAGGAATAGACAAATAACAACACATGGTATAAGATTGGTGCGAAGAGGCTCTGCCAAAAAATTGTACACATATCAATATCCATTAAATTGCATTTCGGTTTCCTGACTGAACTGCTTTGGTAGGATGGCAATTGGCAAATGATAAAAGATCTTCAACATAGTCTTGCCCCAAATTTGTTATCTATTTTAGTTTCTACTATTTATATGTATACTTATGACTGAATGAAGTAATTTGTTTTCTTTTTTGCAGATATGGGTTTGATTCAAGTGTTCCTTGATCACCATGCATTTCATTGCATTCATAACTAGCAAAAAGGATACTGTTGAAGATGGAGCTAATTTTTGCAGTTTTGGTATTGGCTTGCTTATGCTCTTTTGCATTGCCTGATTCACAAGGTACATTTCTGTGGTTATGTGACATTTAATTATTCAGACACTGTCTGGGATATGCTATGCACAACTTCTTCCCATTTTTTCAATTGTTGTTTACTCGTCATCATAACCAATACTGAGATAAATGAGTCTAGCATTGTATACTGCAATGTATGTTACAATATGGTGACATCAATGCAATTAAAATATTTTAACTTTTTTCCTCTCTGCCTCTATCTCTTTCTCTCTTCTGTTGCTCTCTCTGGGAAATTATAAAAAGATGATCCAGAGGGTTAGTGGACTGTCTTGAGGGTTTTGTATGGCAGAATATGTTATGTATCTTTTACTTTCATTTGTTGACTCTTTTTTTTTAGTATTTATGTAAAGTAGTAGTGCATTTCTGTTGGAACATTTGCTTGATTGGATGGTGAATGTATGATTTTTTTTTGGTTTCAGGAGAGGCACTCTTTTCATTGAGGACTTCATTGAATAGTTCACCCGATCAGCTCAAGGACTGGAACATTAACCAAGTTAATCCATGCACTTGGTCCAATGTGAATTGTGACCCTAACAATAAAGTCATTTCTGTGTAAGACATCCCTTGTTTATATCGTGATGCATTTCTGCCAAAAAATCACTTTACAATGTGAAATTCATCTTACTTGCATATATTACTGCCTTATTACTAATATATGCTTTGTTTTGTCCCTTTTTTTTTTGGGCAGAACATTGTCAAATATTGGATTTTCTGGCATCTTGTCCCCTAAATTAGGAGCCTTGACAACTCTTCAAACACTGTGAGTAAGGAGAATTCTAGTGCTGTTTATCCGAATTTCTGTATAATCTTCTGGAGCCATTTCTAAAACAAGCACTGTTATTGAAGCTCATGGATGCTCAATATCTATAGTTTGATATTGTCTTTTAAGAAATCTAATCTCCTATATTTTGTGCTCACCTATAAATTTTTTGCTTTTAACACTATGTTTCACGCAATTTAGGGCAACCAAAAAAATAATATCAATGCATCATTGGATCCATTGACAGCAACATTGGTTCTATACTCGAGTTATTAAAGTAATTTTGTTTTTTTTAGCTTAGGTTTCAGCAATTCTAATCACATGCTTTATGGGTAAGATAATTGTTGACAGACTATGGTTAAAATTATTTCTGGAGTATGACAATGTAAAGATTTGTAAGATATATTTATATATATTTTTCTATATTTGATATATATATTTTTTTCTATATTTGATATCATAAAGTCAACTCAACTAAGCATCTTACGAACTAATTGAGGGTGAGTTAAAAAAAAATCCTTTTTCCAGGTAATTTGTTTAGAACATTTGCCCCTTACCATTGGCATATTTTATGTTACAGCTTTGATGACCATATCAATTGTCTATTTTGGTCCAAAGAATAAGATAGACTATATTTCGTCCATCTCAATCTATCCGTGTTAATTTTAGTCTCCGCCTTTTGACTTCTTCTGCTTGAATCAATTCACTCTTGCACCATGCGTTCTAGGTCTCTATTGAACTTGTTCCATGGAAATGTGTTCAATTTCATACCATGTTCCAATTCTTGTCCTTATGATGCCCTCAACTTCTTTTATATCATGGATTCTTATTATTCTCTCTTTTCCTTTGATGCATTACATCTAAGTCAAACCATTTCCTTAGGATGTTTTGCATAGGGGAGTCAGACCATGATATAGGACTTCACTTGTGTACTGTACATACTGGTAAAACATGTCTTCTATATTAGCTTAGGATGATCAACTTTGAGATGAATTCTTATTCCCAAGAGAGACAGATTTGTTGACACCATCAGAAAACTATTTTTCTAGGGCAATAATTAATTCTTTATATCCGTAGACATGTATGCATGCATATATGTATGATTCTAATATATATGAGACCCATTTATCTTGCAGTGCATTGCAAGGAAATGGAATAACTGGCGAGATACCAAAAGAGTTTGGAAGTCTGACAAGTTTGACCACCTTAAATTTAGATGACAATAATTTAAGTGGTGAAATACCATCTTCCCTTGGTAATCTGCAAAATCTTCATTTCTTGTAAGTTGTTTTATCAGCGTTGTTTTAAGTTTCCACTGATATCTAATGACTCTCAGCGTCATCCTTAATTTTGTCTTTGACAGTGTTTTCTTGATGATGCAAACAGGTCTCTGAATCAAAATAATCTGAGCGGGATTATCCCAGAGTCACTTTCAAGTCTTACAAAATTGATTAATCTGTATGTTATCATTTCTTGTACAATGCACATGTGATATGAAAAATCAGAGTTTGTCCATTCAAATTATACTAAATGAATTAATTTGGTCCTCCAGCTTTTGGAATTCTGAAAGTTCTCTGTGTGAAGTTGTATACTTTGGCCCATCTCTTCAGTATTTGATCCCGTACTTCAAACTGTCTTTGCAGTCAGCTTGCCTCCAATGCTCTCAGAGGTCAAATACCCCAGCAGTTATTTCATGTCCCAAAATACAAGTATGAATAACTTGTCACTGTTATCGTTTCTGTTCCTGACAATAACTGACTGCATGCCTTTCTCTCTCTCCCCTTCTCTCTGTGTCCAGTCACATATTCAACATATGTTTTACAGCATGATTTGATCTGTGTTGCTTGTTGCAGTTTTACAGGAAACCACCTAAACTGTGGCGTAAATCTCTCCCACCATTGTGAATCTGATAATGATGATTCAGGTTAATGGGTCAAATAATGATACTGTTAATTGAATTGTTCTGTTACCCTTTCTTTGAATGAGCCAACTGATGAGGTTTTCTCACTCTTGACAGGCTCTTCAAATAAGCCAAAGCTTGGAATTATAATTGGAGTTGTTGGAGGGATTATCGGTTTACTTTTCCTTGGAGGCTTGCTCTACTTTATCTGCAAGCGTAGACACAAAGGCTACAAGCGTGAAGTTTTTGTGGATGTTGCAGGTATGTCTTGCTTTCTAGTTATAAAACTGATTAAATTTTCACCCATTAATGGAACCTTGATTTAAATTTTGGTAAATCAACACACTAGAATGATTCAGCCATATTTTCTGATGAATCAATAAGATTTCCTATATGTTAAAGAAATTAGGGTTTTTCATGAATTGACTCATCACCATGACTGAAGTTACATAAGGAGTTCTTCTTTAGGATAGTTACTTTAAATTTACATGTTCATCATATTTTATGCCTCTGCACATTAGGTCAGGTTGAGGGTGGTGGGAGAGGTGGTCTTTGTCTCAACATCTTGGTAGTTCCATAAAAGAAAATCCATGAATATATGTACGAGTCTAGTTTTGGGTGTATCATTTAATACCAATCAATGCCATAAAATTTGAGTTCTATTACAATTGTTTAGCTGATGTATTATTTTTAGCTGTTTGGTTTGTGGTTTTTGAATTGTTCAAGAACGATCCTAATGGGCAGTGCCATTTCAGCCGTTTTGGGCCATTGTGCATCCCAAACCATGAGGAAATCTTGATCGTTGCACACATAGATAAAGTGGTCAGGGCTTCCTGACTGTTGTAAGTAAAAAGATTTGAGGGAAAAAATGTTAGATACACTGCAGGATAGGAAATGATAGGAAAAATAAAGAGATCTGGACTCACTCCACCCTTTGGCATCACATGAAGGTTTCAGTAGAGAAATTAGAAATTTTTTGGTATCACACCAACCTTCGGCATCACACTGAAGTGCCTTGGAATCACCCCAATTCAACCTGTGATTCACACACCAGAATTAAAATATATTCCAAGTGGATATCATGCTCATCTAGTTTTCCTTGAAACTAAGCAACAATAAATTGAAATCGTGTTTAGTATTACAATTTAAGCGAAAAAACAAAAAAAAAAAACTATGTAATCAGTACAAGAAAGATTGTATTTCTTCCATTTGACTACAGAAGTCGCTGAATGAGGGAAGGAAAAACCATTTAAAACATGTGTGGTGTATACTTTTCCACAATTAATTAGAGAATGAGAAGTGTATCATGTAAAGCTTTCATAATTGAAGTGTCTAGTCAATTGATCAGAGCCAAAAGGTGCTCATCATTAGAGAGAATGACACATGTCATGTAAAATTTATATTTTAGAATTTTTTATCAATGGAATTTTTATAGTTACCATTTCAGTCTATAAGGCCTTGGTGAGCCTGTTTTTTATCATGGCAGGCATTCAGAGCTAAAATGGCCTAAGGCACGGCTGGGGTGAGGGCCCCATTTTACCAGCTTAGTTTCTCATATGTAAAATTGATAGTGAATTTGAGAACTAAGTTGCGAGTCTAAATTAAACTTATCTGATTTAACCTCCTTCCATGGGCAGGAAATTCATCAGAGTTGACAGAAATTCATCAGAGTTGATGTCAAGGATGCTTACTCTATTATATTTAGTTTCCATTTGTATCTTTCATATGATTTAGAAATATTTTGTGTCTGTAATGTTTTTTAAATCATTTACGTTCTTGAACATTTGCAATTGAACTTTTATTATGCATTGCATGCAAAGTTTCCTTTGCATTCTGCTTTTAAAACCATTTTTAACTGCTGGGCCCAGGTGAAGTTGACCGAAGGATTGCATTTGGTCAATTAAAAAGGTTTTCATGGAGGGAATTGCAGCTAGCAACAGACAACTTCAGTGAGAAAAATGTTCTAGGACAGGGAGGTTTTGGAAAAGTCTATAAAGGAGTGCTCTCTGACAACACAAAAGTTGCTGTTAAGCGTCTCACTGATTATGAGAGTCCTGGGGGAGATGCAGCTTTCCAGCGTGAAGTTGAAATGATAAGTGTAGCTGTTCACAGGAATCTCTTACGACTGATTGGATTTTGTACAACTCCAACAGAACGCCTTTTGGTGTATCCCTTTATGCAGAATTTAAGTGTTGCCTACCGGTTACGAGGTATGGCGCCTTCAATTCATATGTGATTTACAGCTGCAATGTGTTATAATTCAGGTTGATTAGGTGTAGTTTCTTTTATTTTTATTTTTGGGGGGAATTGGGGAGTAAACTTGTGACAATTTGGATACATGCATTTTATGGTTTCTCCAGATATGTGCACGAACATGTGGTGCATGCATGCATACAATGCCATATCTCCAATTACTTGGACTTTTCCTACCACTTTCGGTTGTTATATGTACAATCTGTATTGTGTGAATGGTTATTCTGGTAACTATCTCCTTGTGTTGACTTATAAATTTATATTACCTAGGATATATATGTAAAATTATGTCTTTACACTGTCGTTCCCTTTGTTTTTCCTTTCTACGAATGTTAAATGGCAAAGTCACTGTAGGAGGGGAATTCATGGTTTTCTGAGTTCGTCATAAGATCTTCGCCACTTGATTAATATAGTTAAGAGAAGGGTTAAGTTGATCCATGTTTTAGTAGTTGCAATTTGAAGTCATCATTAGATCACAAATTGGACTATATATTACTAGCCTTGCAATGATATTACCTGGCTTTGAAATTTTTTTTCAGAGATTAAACCTGGGGAGCCTGTTTTGGACTGGCCCACAAGAAAGCAGGTGGCTTTAGGCACGGCCCGTGGGCTAGAGTACCTACATGAACATTGTAATCCTAAGATCATTCATCGAGATGTTAAGGCTGCTAATGTACTACTTGATGAAGATTTTGAAGCAGTCGTTGGTGACTTTGGCTTGGCAAAGTTGGTGGATGTTAGAAAGACTAACGTGACAACTCAAGTTCGTGGCACAATGGGCCACATAGCACCTGAATACTTGTCCACTGGGAAGTCATCAGAAAGGACAGACGTTTTTGGCTATGGGATTATGCTCTTAGAACTTGTAACAGGACAGCGGGCAATTGATTTTTCACGCTTGGAAGAAGAAGATGATGTTTTGTTGCTTGACCATGTAAGTTCAACTTGTTCGGCATTTGCATATCTTTTTCTCTCTCCCACTCCCTCTCTCCCTACCTCCTCCAATTGTGCATTTATAAGCAAATGTTGAGGTTGAAGATATCAGTTGAACATACCTTCCTCTAGATACCATATCTTCAACTGGAGCAATAAACTTATATGAGGGAGGTAGTGATGTCTTCATTTTGGATACTGATATTGTTGGATATTGCTTACCTTCTTGTTATCCAAGAATTTAGAGATATAATTTATAGGTTTGGAAATTTAACTGATACTTGGTACATATTTGATGGATGCATATTGGTTGACCATTAGATGTTAAGACATGATCTGTTGCAATAAAGAACTATAATTGTATGGAAGTGGTTTATGAATTACCTACCTTATGAGTAATGGTTGGTTTAAGAATATGTGCATGAATAGATGTATGTGCATTTCTATTGCATTATTGATGAACCTAGCCGTATAATTTTCTACGTCCTAAATATTTGGCTTATCAGCATGAGAAAATAAATAAAATATTACCCTAAGTCATTAGGGATGCCAGTTCTTGTTCCTTTCACACCACATAATTCCAAGTTGCAAAATAAAATTTGCCTGATCATGACATTTGTCATTTGTCATTTGTCTTCATGCATGTTAAGATAAATTAAGCAAATGACATTCTTGCAATTTGTTTTAATGGTATTGGGAACTTTGCATGCTCACAGATGTGGGAGTTCTTCTGAAATGGGTATGTAGTTATATTGTATGGTCAAAGACTTTGCCAATTCTAAGTAGCAGGTTTGATATGGAAAGTTGTGCAGAACCTATCCTCTACACTAAATAATGTCACTCTTGAGGACGAAAACATGGTGATGAGGACATCTTTGTCAAACCCATTAGGGTTTACGAGCGAAAGAGATGGAAGAGGAAATGATTGATTAGTTTCCTAATTTATTTGATAGTTTCCTAGGTTCTCTAGATTTCCAGATTTAAGTTTACTAGTTTATTTGAATTGGTTCCTTTGTGGATTAGGATTTCTGTTTAGTAAGGGATTTTTTTATCCTGTTGTCTCTAGGTTTTAGTTTGCTATAAATACCCCTTCTATGTAATTCGTTATGGAGAGTTTAGAGATTTGATTTATGATAAAAGCTTATTTTCCAGAGATTGGAGAATTCTTTGTGTGAAGCCAAACCCCTTGGTTTAGTGTTTCGGGTTTAGGGTGTGAAGCCCCTGGAGTGATTCTGGGCCTATCCTTGTTCGTTTGATTTTCTGTTTTCCATTGTTTTCACTTCCGCTAAATTACCTAAATACTCAATTCACCCTTATCCTACATCACATGGTGACCTTTTAACTGTGTACATATTTACGCATGAATTTGTACTCACTCTGGCAACTTCTTTATTTATATGCTCTTGAAGGTCAAGAAGCTGGAAAGGGAAAAAAGACTGGATGCTATTGTAGATAACAATCTGAATGATAGTTTCAACATCCAAGAAGTAGAAATGATGATCAAAGTTGCACTTCTTTGTACACAAGGATCCCCTGAAGATCGCCCATTAATGTCAGAGGTAGTACGGATGCTAGAAGGAGAGGGTCTGGCTGAACGGTGGGAAGAATGGCAGAATGTTGAGGTTACTCGCAGGCAAGAGTATGAAAGACTACAAAGGAGATTTGACTGGGGAGAAGATTCAGTTTATAACCAGGATGCTATTGAGTTATCAGGTGGGCGATGAGGTAATAAATAATTTTATACTTGTTTTCTCACCTTCAGCATGTCATATCCTTTTTGGTAGGTTAGCTTGGTTAAACCCGGAATGGAGCATTCTGTATTCCAAAAATCATAATATCATGATTTTTATTTTCTGTTGTGATGCTTTTGCTGCAAGCCCTTTTTCCCTTACTTGATTTTGTAACTTTTAATTTGTATATCTTGTGGATTCAAGTTTTTATAAGTGTGGCCAAGCCATGGAATACAAACATTGCAGATTGTGTAATCAACATTGTTCTGATTTTAATATTTATATTAAAGGGAAAGCCAGGGGGATATAAAAAATGCTTTTCTTAGTTTCCTCTATGTTGGTTATCAGTGACAGCTTCAGTCTGCATCCTTCTTTTCAGTTCATGATTAGGTACAAAACATTAACATACACAGGTGTGTTCATGGTACCTTTCTGATTAGAGTGTTATTCTAAGCACAGAAAATTCGTGTACGATTTCTAATTTTCTTTAGGAAGTAGAGTCTTTAAATAAATCAGGTTCAGTTGCAGTCATCAATACAAACAGCTAGCTCTATTTGTGGTGTGGTGAGAAAACTAGAACTAGAATATTTCAGTGGTAAAAATCCACTTAAGATCTGTACATAGAACATGTTCAATCTGAAATCGATGTCTAATTAGATGTACTTTGCAAAACGTCTCGCAAGAGTGCTGATGCTCAACTTCATTAGATGGCTTTCCGGCAATCTTGTAAAACCACGGCATGAAAGTGGGGAACTGTAGCCTATGCTTTCAAATTTTCCTTTACCTGTGGTGGTTTTTCTATCATCAACTCTTTCTTCTCGTTCATTTCACTTTCATCCTTTGGTTTTTCCTCGGCTAGAAGATACTGTGGTGCACTGTCAGTGTCTCCACCATCCATCTCTTCAAGGTTGATATAACACATGCTATAGTCTACACCTGCCATTGCCAAAGCTTCCACTGACATGGCTTCACCTGTGTGTGTGTGTGTGGAGGCCCTTGAACTTGGTGTTTGAACTTATGAAAAATTGTTAGCATGTCAAAGAACTATCAGTATGAGATTATATACATATATACAGCCGATCCTTACTCTAGGAAGTCTGGTCGAATGGTGTTCACATGTGGTACCAACCCCCTTGTGCAGAAACAGCTCACAGGTTTCATGTACAAAGTTTACATTATTATATCTGTGACTTCAACTACTCTCTCTTTTTCTCTCATTACTACATTTTGATCCAAGAGACATATAGTATGGTTAGTGTGCAATGGATTCTACCCAAATGTGGTGATGACACAAGATTTGATTAAACAAGTTTCATAAAATGCTTTTGTCAATTGGGAGATGTGAAATGCATATATACATGTGATTAGTTTAATGAGTTTCACTGGGTAGGTGTGGATGCATTTCCATGAGATGATTTGGTTCACTTTTTCACCAAAGCTGTAAATGTCATGGCATTTGGTGCCCCTGCATCCGTATTGTAGTTTTGCAATCCCTCCAATTAACAGGCCGGTTCAGATATTTAACCTTCTACCTTTGGCATGCGTGCTGAGGGGAACATCTTTTGAGTTATTCCCATTTTATTTGACGATTCTTGTCCTAAAGCAGGAATGGTTATAAGTTATAACTTTGTATGACAGAAGAGATAGGGAGAAGAGGTTTAGGGGTGCCTTGGAACATCAAGCTTTACTATCTTTTAATTTTCCCTAATTTGTCCGCACTCTTTCTATTGTTTGTTTTTGTGATACAAGAGATATTGGGGGAGGGAATCGAATGTAGGACTTTGGGTACATGGATAAATGCTTCTTAACCACTAGAGCTGTAAGCCAAAAAAACAAAGAACCACTTTGGCCAACACTTTACCCCTTACGGGCCAACCCGGTGTGAGTGAGAATTAGTCTGGGTTGTGGTTAAGGCTTAAAGGTGCCACCCATAGTTGGGGCCCATTCAGGATCACCTTATGGTTCAGACCAAAAAAAAAAAAAAACCAAAGAAAGGAAAGTGCATGGGCTTTCGCCAAATCTCTTTGGCTTTAGTACAATCTCTAAGAATGTGGAGAGCAGTTTCATAGGGCCAATCACATATAGAGCAAGAAGGGTCAGTAGCTAAATTCCTTCTTACTCTCTGATCATTTGACAAAATTTTATCTTGGTAAACAAGCCAGAGGAAGACTTTCAACTTGGGGGGAAGGTTCAACTGCCATAAAACCTTCCAAAAAGAATCCTTCCAAGAAGAGTCTCCAAAGAGCAGTTGATAAGCAGATTTAACAGTGAAGACCCCATTAGTTGTGTGTTTCCAAATCTGCGAATCCTGTAACGTACCAATAAAACCAACAGGAAAATTAATAATTCTTTCTACTACCTCAACAGGAACAGCAGCTTTCAACCTCTCAATATCCCACCATCCATGCTTAAAGAAGCTTGAAACAGGGCAGTCCAAATCTAGCACATCACCAATTCCCTCATACTCCATCAAAGGTATGTCAGACAACCACTTGTCTGTCCAAAATTTCACTTTATCCCCCATCCCAATTCTCCAAGTCATCCCCTGCTTAAGCAGTCTGGAGCCATGAAGAATGCCCTTCCAGGTGGTAGAACAACCGTGTCTATTAACCAGAGAATTGTCCAAGATAGAGTAGCCTTGCAGGTACTTATCCTCATAAATTTTGGCCCACAATCCCTTATCTTGAGCATGTAGTCTCCAACCAATTTTACCCAGCATAGCTTGGTTCATTAACGAGGTTTTCTTCAGCCCCAAACCACCTTTATGCTTGGGTTTACAAACCAAATCCCATTGGCATAAGTGAACCTTGCTCTGCTTGGCACTACCTCCCCAGAGAAAGTTGCGATTAACGCGATCAAGATCATCACAGACTTTTCATAATTAACAAATAAACATAGGATTAAAATAAATGACTTTTCCACAACCATTCTTCCTCTCCCCGCTGCCCAGCGACCATTGACCCCTTCCCCGAGTCCCGACCTCTGCTTTCTTCCCCTTTCCTCCCAATACCATTGCAGGTTTAGGGTTTAGGGTTGCAGGTCCACACAGATCGGTAATCAAAAGTTTGCGCAAAAACAAACAAAAAGGAAAAAACTCAATTTGCTCTCTTTATTCCTGTGTCTCAACACTCTCTGTTTGATTCGTGCTACTTGACCAAAACCCAAACAGATTATTTGGTTGAAAGCTCGAATTAATTAAAGGAAAAAACCTACTATTATGAATCTCTGTATTCACTCTCCAAGGGTGGCTGTGGAATGGGTTTGATTGGTTGTAGTTGCGGGTTGGGGTGAAAGGTGGCTGTGGGATGGGTTTGGGGGTTGGAGCTTGCAAGTGGTGGTGGGGGATGGGGGGGCTATAATTTTGGGTGTCTTGAGAAATTATTTGTGGTGGTTGGGCGATAATTGCTGGGTAGGCGGAGGGTGCTGGGAGAGAGAGTTTTGGAAGTGGAGGGTGGCTGTGAGGGCTGGGGGGGAGAAGAAATTTGAGGGAAGGGGGAATTAGTTTTTAATTTTTTTTGGGTGAAAGAAATATTGAGAGAGAGAGCTTTTTATTTCATTTTTCAGTGTTTATTTATTTTTAACGTATGAAATGACTAATTTGCACTTATAATAAATGGCAACATTGACAGATAGTAACAGTAGGACCAATTGACCGAATAATATAGAGTTGATGGACTATTTGAACAAATAATTTAATTAAGGGATCAAAATGTAAATTGTGTATAAATTTGAGGATCATTTGAATAATTAACCGTTTTATTTAATCATTGCGAAGCAACAATTATGGGCACCTAGGCATATAGGGATAGAAACAAAATGCGGCATGGTTATGCGGTTGCTGGCTTAGCGGGTCTACAACAAAAGAAATTTGTGAACAGAAGATGGAATGATAAGATAAATGTTAATAGGATTAGGGTACAAAATTGTAAAATTCAAGCCATGGTCTGAGAATCGCCTCTATTCGTTACTTTAACAGACCCCTCAAATTAAGTGCACTTTTCAACTGGATCTTGGTTGATTTTGCTTAAACAACTTTGCTGTTAAGGGTGGTCTAATTTGACTTCAATGGTCGGTTTGGGTAACATAACATCCCCATTAGAAAGTTGTGATTAGTCGACTTGATGGAACAACCCTAGATACGCACATAATTTGGATTTGGCTATTTTAGCTAGGAGCAACTGGACGATAACAAGACTAAATTAGCTACAAGCTGACCATCAGTTGCATCCATTCATAACTTTGTCATGCAATACTTCAACAAATACTTCAAATTGTCAAGAAAAGTCATAACTTTGGCATCAAGTACTTCAACAATATTGAAGATATATAAAATCGGCATTGGACATTGGTGAGCGAGGTTGAAACGCATCTTTTATCCAATGAGTAAAAGATTTTCATTTTACAATGCAGTTCTTTTATTTGAGTAATTTCCGAGACCCCACATTCCAACAATTAAGCTCTTTTAATTCCAGCCCTATACTAAAATTACCCGCACTTTGGCGCAGTTAAGCCAAAACATGGAAACTAAATTAAGGGGAGCAAAACAGAAACAATTAAGCTAACAAATCTTATATATCCTCTAGTCATGCATATAATACTATTTTGTTTTACCATGGTATATACATGGAAAGGGAGTCATGTGTTTCAAAAAGAATCACAGCATCCATATTGTTTGTATGGACAAAAACTACTGCTTTAAAACATCAATTTATAATGTATTACTCATCATCCGAAAACATTTCTTGATTTCAGGGTGGAAAGATTACACATCATCAGAAAACATAATAAATCCATCTAATTACATTTGTTTTTATATTATTGATTCATAAATCATTAGAATTCTTGTTGGAATTATAAATTACAATATTCATAATTTGACATTATTACAACTCATAACATTCTTGGAAAAATAAATAAATCATAAAATACAATAAGCTACAAAAAATAATTAGACATAAATTGCATAATTAGGACAAGATGTTTACTCAAAAGAAAATTGGTAACAAAATTTGGACTAGATGATTTTTGGTTCTGTATTGACTAGAACGGTCACTTTTTTTGAAGTTAATTGGGAATATCGTCCATGTTTTTCTCACCAATCTCAATGCCTACATCTCCAACTCTTCAAGGTTAATGCCTGCTATTTGCCAAAGCTTCATCGAAATTATTTGTAATAAAAAATTGCTACCTCGCCTATTTTTTTGGGAGACTTATAAATAAACCCAAAGTGGGTGCAGTATTTATAAAAAAGGACAAAATTAAAGTGTTCGGACAAAAATGCCCTTATTTCATTTTTTGAGTTTCCTAAGGAGTCTTTCAGCTGCTTGCTAGCCGTATGGAACCAAAATTTTCTTTAGGAATTTAGTGAAAAACCCAAAAGAAGCAAGCAGCTTATAAAAACACCCAAAAACTTTTCAAAATGATGAAAAAACCATTATCTTTGGCATCAAAGACATGCAAGTCCTAGAGCTCCTTCTCCGCCTTCAGCATGTGAAGATTTTGTCCTTAAGCACCCAGACCATGTGAAGACTCTATTACTTTGCATCTGCCCAACTGTTATTACTGCGCAACGACGGTCCCAGAAATAATGTTTTGTTTCTTTATACATATTTTAGAGTGCATTCTGTCTTAATATACAGAAGAATCTTTTGTTTGCCATCAGTTGGCATATGATGTATGTATGAAACTTCAGAAGAGAGAGATAGAGATAGTATCAGATAGAGATAGAGAGGTTTCTTCTCTCATCCTTAGCCGATCTTAGTAGAGTCGGTGAAAATGGTGTATATAGCTTGTAACTCCGAAGAAGAGAAGTACGAACAATACCAGAGAAGAAAAAATCTCAGTACTTCCTCCTTCAGTTTTAATCAATAAAACTCCCTTTATTCATATACTTTCTCTCATTTCTCTGATTATTCTCTTACTCCAACCACTGTTAATACCGCCGACCATTGTTAATACCCGGTCATAACAGTAGTTCCAGCAACAAAAGCAATTAAGTAAGTCTTTTTCCCTTTTATTTTTGGTTTTCTTAGTAGACTTCTTGTCCAAAACAGGGAAACACTTTTATAATTATGTTATTATCTTGCTAAATTGACTATCAATACTTTGTTTGAGCACTTGGTCATGTTTTATATTTGCCATAATGATAATGGGATGCTTGTCAGGGAACCTCTGAGTTCTGCTCCATAGCCCTTTAAGTTGGCGTCTTTGCAGTTCCATGTTCTAGGCATGGTGTTTGGTTGTTATTTTGGCCTTTAGAAACCTTGACCGAGCCCCACTTGCAAAATGAGCAGAACTCAGAGGTCCTCTAAACTCAGAGGTTCCTTGACAGACATCCAATTATCATATGGCAAATATAAAACATGACCAAGTGCTCAAACAAAGTATTGATCGTCAGTTTAGCAAGATAATAACATAATTATAAAAGTGTTTCCCTGTTTTGGACAAGAAGTCTACTAAGAAAACCAAAAATAAAAGGGAAAAAGACTTATTTAATTGCTTATGTTGCTGGAACTACTGTTATGACCGGGTATTAACAATGGTCGGCGGTATTAACAGTGGTTGGAGTAAGAGAATAATCAGAGAAATGAGAGAAAGTATATGAATAAAGGGAGTTTTATTGATTAAAACTGAAGGAGGAAGTACTGAGATTTTTTCTTCTCTGGTATTGTTCGTACTTCTCTTCTTCGGAGTTACAAGCTATATACACCATTTTCACCGACTCTACTAAAATCGGCTAAGGATGAGAGGAGAAACCTCTCTATCTCTATCTGATACTATTCACCGACTCTACTAAGATCGGCTAAGGATGAGAGGAGAAACCTCTCTATCTCTATCTGATACTATCTCTATCTCTCTCTTCTGAAGTTTCATACATACATCATATGCCAACTGATGGCAAACAAAAGATTCTTCTGTATATTAAGACAGAATGCACTCTAAAATATGTACAAAGAAACAAAACATTATTTCTGGGACCGTCGTTGCGCAGTAATAACAGTTGGGCAGATGCAAAGTAATAGAGTCTTCACATGGTCTGGGTGCTTAAGGACAAAATCTTCACATGCTGAAGGCGGAGAAGGAGCTCTAGGACTTGCATGTCTTTGATGCCAAAGATAATGGTTTTTTCATCATTTTGAAAAGTTTTTGGGTGTTTTTATAAGCTGCTTGCTTCTTTTGGGGGTTTCACTAAATTCCTATAATTTTTCCCCCTTATCTTTTTCCTTTTACGGGTAGACTCGATTTAAGGTTATTGTTTGTTGCATGCCTACTAGTGTCAGTTTCTTTTTCCTTTTTTTCCCCCGTTTCTTTTTCCTTTTATTGGCAGAATCGTCTTTTTTGAATTCATTAGCAACCGACACTATAGTTTCATAATGTCTTAAATAGATTTGTATGATTAACTCATAAAAAATAGGAAAAATTAGACGATGGATTGACAATTAACTGGTCATCTTTCATCTGCTGTTGGAGCAGGATTTCTTTCAAGAAGAAATACCTCCACAGGTTCTTGACTGAAGTTCGCACGCTTCCTTGGTTGAAAGAGACCTTCGAATTACGTTCCCGAAATAGAACGAGGGAAAGGAGGTGAGTACCTGCAAAAATCACTCCAACGCTCAAGTCAGTGTTTGTGCAACGTACTCTTAGTGTTCGGCTGAATTTCACGTACCTTTGCTGGAGGTCCAGCTGGATTTTTATAGTCCCTAGCTTTGGGCATCCCGTCCTCCACTTCATGGTAATGGGATTAGACGAGCGATTTGTGTCTCCCTTGTTCCGCACTCCTCTAGTGGGAGGGAAGTTCGATCATCCCACGTCTATTAGTTGTGGCATATGGGTTAGGCCATGATACGTTAGATTTGGTCCCCACAGTACCCCCTTTTTTCCCTCTCTACAAGCTTCGCGGGTGGAGAGGGAAAAATGATCTAAGTGGTACTTGGGAATATGATTTCTTCGGATTGGGCGCATGTCGCCGTGATGGGCTCATGGCTGAGCCCGAAATAAGCCATACTTTTTATTTCTTGGGCTTTATGGTCAAACCCAAAAATGTGATTCCTATTGGCC